TTTAATAGTTTATTCAATAAATCATCAATGAAACCCATCAGCTGATTTCATACGAAGTTTTACAATTCTATATTGTCATGGTTGACTAACTGATTAAAAATAAGTTTAATTTATTTGTCTCTCAACCTAAACCCATGGTTTCTACAAGTTAAATCTTATTGAGTTTGGGAAAATTTGATGAACTTTTTAAAGACTATGTTTGTGAATACAAGACTTATTTAGAAAGTTTAAATATGATTCTTTATAAGATGAACAATAAATCACTTATAGCACACAGTGTTTCCAAGAAGTGTTTGTGAGAATAGTATTGTTATATTCACTGAATCTACTGACCTGGATTTCACAGGGTTCTAGTTGAGCTGAACTAAAATTTCAAATTGTACCAAATAAACACCCATAACACCCCTGTGAACTTGGTTCTTTGATATATAATGGGTATGCGACATAAGCAATAAGTACACGCTACACGAGTAAGGTTTAAACAATGCACTTTATTCGACACACAAAATGGGTGGGCAGGAGATGCCTGACCCGATACAAAGGGTAGTGGGGTAAACATTGTATTATTACATAAGAAATATAACACTAGAAAACTAATAATTTAGTAATAATATTATGATATTTCCACTTGGGTGAGGAGTGGGCAAGAAATGCCAGACAAGGGGTAGTGGATTACCGTACATTATTACAAGGAAATGCCTAAATCGGAAATGTAGATAATTGCATAATTGTCTCAGCATGGATGCATAAAACTATGAAACAAACGTACATAACAGACAAGAACGAATGCAAATAATACTGGTGATTGGACACGATCCTTCCTAAAGTTTCTTCAAACTAGATGTACGAGTCTTTGCATGATGTCAGTATATTTCCCAGCAAGTTTCAACTAACTTTGGCGACGACGGTAATTTTAGAATGCAGTCAGAAGCACTGTCATTGTAGAACATACGCTGCACACTCTGTCGAACATGATACCAATCAATTACAGTGAGTATCTGTGCAATATTGGTAACTTGTAGAAGGAGAGTGTCCGGGTGGATGACC